TCTGAGAGAGAGAGAGAGAGAGAGAGAGAGAGAGAGGAGAGAGAGAGAGAAGAGAGAGAGAGAGAGAAAGAGAATGCTAGGATCTGGCCGTCATAATTAGGGAGTGATCCTGGTATTTAGTAGGCAAAAGCCAGGACTCTTAGCAGAGCCTCACTCAGTAAAAACATGTTTGGTCCAAATAGCTGCAGCACCTCTGTTGAGAACACTGTACTAAGTTCTGACCCTACAAATATTATACATATATGTTCTTTTTCCCCTTAACATTATACCTCGCATTTCCAAACCCATAAAACTCCTTTCTTCAATAAACACTCTTGTGTTTATAAGTCTTTGCCTGTATTTCTTTTCTTTCAGTCTAAAAAACAACTTTATTTTCCGTTTCCCAGTTCACTAACAAGACTTATGAAGTAAGATGTTGACCCAGGTTACGGTAAGAGCAAAGTGAGGTTGGAGAGGTTAAACACTCCTAGTCGTATCATTCTAACTTGATCATGCAGGCTATGAGGTCTGAAGCCACAGTGTGTTTTCCTTCTACTTTTCCAAGCACCCTCTATGGCAAGGGAAGATCAAGATGTTTGGTAGTGAACTGAAATAGGCCGGCCCCAAGCATAACTTTTGAGTGGAACAAGTCATTTCAGATTTGTGGCCAATTAAAACCTTAGATCAAGAACCACAGGGGCGGACAAAGATGCGGACGAATAACACCGCCAGACAGAGGGTCTCTGCAGAAAAGACAGATTCTAACGCAGAAACTAGAGGAAAGAAGCAAGAAGACGACATACAGCGACAAGGCCGGAAGGAGGGGTACCTGAGACCCCGGGAGATCACGGGAGGAGGCTGCCAGAGGAGAACTGGAGGCTGAGACCACCGGAGCAGCCGGAGACCAGCGGCAAGGGTAGATGGATTGCTGTTCCCCTCCCCTGCATTCGGGACTGCTGGTGGTCCCCAGCGGGGTGAGAGACCTGCGGACACCAGCCCAGAGACTGCCGCCGCTGCAACTGTGAGCTGTAGCAGACGTGGCACAGGTTCCCAACTTCCTCCGGCACCTCCGTGTGCACGACCCGAGCCGCGCGGCAGGCGCCATATTGCTCCTCCTCCCCTCCGCGACCTACCGGCGGCTGCCGAGAGGACATACAGCCACCAGCCGGAGGCACCTCCAGGGAACGGAATTCCCGTTTGGGACCCCGCCACCCTCTCCCAGGTGCTGCTGGCACCGTGTCTCCAGGAAACGGTGCGACTCAGAGGTTGAGAGACATAGACCCAGCTTGGGCTCCCTGTGGGTGAATTAGCGTACCAGAAGGGACAAAAGACAACACTCAAGGGTTGGACAAGCTCTGTTGAGATATAATAGAGGAAAATTCCCAGGCCTTGCTCAAAATCTTGATATACAAGTTCAAGAAGCTCACAGGACCCTGGGAGATTCAACGCAAACAGGAAGACATCACGACATGCAGTCATCAGACTAACAAAGTATCAAACTAAAGAGCCTTCTAAGAGCTGTAAGACAAAAGAAGCAGTAACATACAAGGGAAAGCCAATTCGAATAACATCAGACTTCTCTAATGAGACTTTACAAGCAAGGAGAGACGGGGCCCATTCTCACTCTTTTGAAAAAACAATGCCAGCCTAGAATATTATTCCCTGCAAAACTAAGCTCGTATATGAAGGAGAAATAAAAACATTCTCAGACAAGCAAAGGCTCAGAGAATTCACCAAGACAAGACCAGCCTACAAGAAGCTTAAAACAGCGTTACGCACGAACATCATAATAATAACCCACGAATATAAAAACAACCAAAACCAAAGATATTAAAGGCCAGATATTACAATGGCTCAAGACAGAAAACATAGCAACAACATCCAACCCCAACAGAATGATCAGTAATCTACCTTACCTATCAGTTCTCTCAATAAATGTGAATGGCTTAAACTCTCCACTCAAGAGACATAGGCTGCCTGAATGGATAAGAAAATACAGGCCAAGTATATGCTGTCTTCTGAGGAAACACATCTAACCTGCAAGGATGCATATAGACTAAAAATAAAGGGTGGAGATCAATATTCAAGCAAATAGAAGCCAAAAGAAGGCTGGTGTGGCAGTGCTAATTTCAGACGATTTAGTTTTTAAACCACAAAAGTAGTCAAAGACAAAGAGGGTCATTATATAATGGTGAAGGGCACAGTCCACAAGAAGAGATAACAATTTTAAATATAATGCACCCAACTTAGGTGCACCAGATTCATAAAGCAAACCTTACTGGAGCTAAGCAAATGGATTAATAGCAACTCCATAATCACCAGAGATTTCAACACCCACTGACGGCACGAGACAGATCCTCCAACAGAAAATTAATAAGAAATATGGACTTAAACAAAATCTAGAACAATTGGGTCTGACAGGACATCTACAGAACATTCTACCAAAATCCACTGAATATACGTTCTTCTCATCAGCTCACGGGACATTCTCTAAGATTGACCATATCCCTAGGACAACAAGAAAAAAAAAAAAAAAGAACCATAAAGAATCAAAAAACTCTGATTCTTGATTCCAACGGTCAAAGATTCCCAGACTTTCAGAGCCTGGGTCTCAAAGGACTCAGAAGCTGTGGAATCCATACACCTTTACACCTAGAAGGGCCAGCATGGTTGGTTCTCATCTTATAGGTCATGGAAATGAGGCACAGAGGACCTAGGCCCAGTGGATCCACAAACCAGCCTGGGCCTCTTTGCCTGGCTAAGCCACTCTCCCTTCTTCCCCCCATCCCTCTTCTCCCCCACCCCTTCCTCAACCTCCCCTCCCTCATCCTCCAGCCTCTCCCACACCCGCCTCACCATCCTCGGTGAGCATTCCCCAGCCAGTTATCCAGCAGGACACGTCACTGGGCAGCTGCATGTCTGGGGATGGGAGGCAGACTGGGACAATGTAGACAGTGAAGTTGACAGGCAGGTACAGCTGTAACATGGCAATGTCACTCCCAAAGGGGTGCAACTTCTCAAAGTCTGGGTGGGTGATAATCCGGCTCACAGACATCTTCTGGGTGTGCTGGGTTTGCCGATACAGTTGAGTGTATCCCAGCAGAACCTGATAGTCCTCCAGGGCCTGGGATTTTCTGGAGGAAGAAAGGGCCCATTATCAGCATCCTCTCTGAGTGTGGGCAGCACTCTCTTCCTGTGTCTTTGTCTAAGTGCCCATGCTTCTCTGGGCCCCTCCACCCTGCCATGATGCCAGGCAGCTTTGTCTCCCCATTTCCAACAGTCAGGAGCTCTTTTCTCCTAAGGCTAATGGGTATTCTACGCACAACCTCAGGACACATGGCTCCCCATCACACCCTAGAATCAGAGGAGCAGAGAATCCTAGTGTGGGAAGAGTCCTTGAAGGGGTCACTAAATCAAGCCCCTTTTATCTTACACAAAAGGAGCTCTGGCTCACTCCTAGCTCCAGCCTGACCCCTCTGAATGCTCCCCACACCCCACTGCCTGGCCCAACCACCTTTCCTGCCTCCTTCCCAATGGTTGCTTCTCTACTGGGCTGTAAGCATTCACAAATGATTTGTTAACAAAAGCTCTCCTTGTTCCTGAACATGACTGATGAAACTTCCTACTATTGTGATTTTGTTCACACAGGACGCCTACCTTGAAGGCCCTCGCCACACTCCCGTGCCCAAGCCTCCAGTCTGGCAAGCCCCTGCAGCTCCTCAGCCCTCCCATCAGACCGCAGCATCTCTCTGGACTCTTCTCCTTTGGGTGTGCCCCTCACCCACTTTAGGATTGCTCTCCTGCATCACGCTGACCAGAGCCTGTGCCTTGCCTTCTTCAGAGGATGGAGACACCCGGACATAGGGTCTTGTCACCATCCTGTGCCACAGAGTCTCAGGGAAGTGTGGCACAGTGTAGATGCTGACAGGACCCAGCTGGGGTCTCAAAGCCAGTAAATGCCCAAGCTGCAACTCCCTGACCTGGCTGTGATGCCCTCGACTCCCTGTGCATCCCTCCACATCTGCTCAGAATCTGGGCACTGAGTCAGGCCCAGGAGGGCCAGAAGAGTTAGGCTCCTAACTGTCTATGTCATTCTCCAGAGTTAGAAGGCCCCATCCTTCCCACCCAGGCAGCCAGGCATGGCTTCTCCCAGGCAGGCAGTTTTACAGAGAAAAGAATTACCTATCTGCTGGTCACAGGTGCAGGGGCCCATGGCCCTGCCTGAGTCTGACTCACAGGAGTGTGGGGGACAGTGAGGAGAAGCCCTGGCCAAGACAGACACTGCTGATGCTCTCAGGCACGTCTGTGTTGGAGGCACAAAGGGGACAGGGGTGGGGGTGGTTCTCGGCTGGAGCTGAGGATGAAGGGCAAAGAGGATCTGGGCAGATAAAGGGAGGGCTGGGTGGCAAGTGGAGAGGACAGTCCAGGTGAAGGGGACTGCAGGTCAAAGGCAGACACCACATCCATTGTGTGGCAGCAGATTACCCAGACCAAAGCCCAGAGGAGAAATAAGTGGGACCCCTTATCCCCCTTATCTTCATTTCCCTTGTATCTCCCTCCCCTGCCAGCCCCTCTGCCGGGGACCCCAGGGAAGAACTCACTTGATAAAGCAGTGGGCAGCTGACACCAGCCAGTGGGAGTCAATGAGGACGGCTCCACAGAAGTGTGAGCCCTTGTAGAGCACACTGGCCTGCCATGGCCACAGGCCAGCATCAGCGTCCTGGCCACCATAGATCTTCCCCATCACCTTGGGCTTCCCGCACACTGTGGAGACACCCCCACCTACCTGTTAGAGACACTGGTGGTGTCCCTGAAGGTCACCCCAGTGAGGCCCCTCCTCTACTTCACAGATGGGAAAACCTAGGCCAAAGGACAGATGGGTGACCTGGCCAAAATGACTGAGGGCTACCCCTTCAGTGGGCCCCACCAAGGATGAGATGACTGAGCAAAACTGAGCAAGCTCCCTAGGAATGGGGACCAGGGGCCTGGGGGTGGGGCAAAGGTGACTGAGGGTGACCACAGAGGTTCATCCTTAACTGGGCCTGCCAAGGGCTGGGGGACTGGCAGCCAGGCCCTGTGACTTTATTTCCTTCCACCAGCATACCTCTGTGCCTACTTTGCAGATCAGAGAACTGAAGGGCTGAGACATCATTAATGTTACTTGCTCAAGATGGTGGCTTCTGTGTGTCTGTGCCCTGTTACCTCTCCCCAGAACCCTGGGGACAGAGATTCCCAGGCAGGAGTCTGTGGTGCTGTGTGGCCTAGACAAACTCACTGCCCCTCTCTGATTCATGATCCTCTATTTCTAGAAGGAGAGGGGGTAGGTAGGGCTAATAAAGACAACCTTGGTTCTAAGACTCACCCCTAGGAGGGGTGCAGTGGGCCCAGACCCCTGAAAGGCAGTGCCCTGGTTCCTGGCTTGTGCTCCCAGGCCTTAGGGAAGGGAGGACCTGAGACTCCTGGGCCCACCCAACTCTGGGATCCCAGCAGCAGTCCTGCTGTTCCATCCCTCCGCCCAGCCCCAGGGTCAGGTGCTGGCCATCTGTCCAGTTCCATGGCCCCCACCACGGGTCCTGAGACACAGAGCCTGACCCACCTCTGCCGATGTCATCTCTGGGGCTACCTGATTGGAAGGGGAGGGTAAAGAAAAGACTTGGGTGACTTTGGAGCACCAGACACTGCGAACCGAACAGAGCGAGGCCCTCAACCTCCCCCCCCCCACCTCTGGCCTATACCACCCTCCTGTCCTTGCCTGCCCCCAACTGCCCCTTCTGCTGGTGCGCCCTCCATCTCCCCACCCCTGCTCAGCTGACCTCCGTGCCCCAGCCCCGTATTGCCCCAGCCCCGTATTGCCCCAGCCCCCTGCCTGCTCCCTGCCCCGCCCCGCTAAGCCCCCAGGCCCGCTGGGCCACACACCCTCTCCTTCAAACGGACCTTGGGCTCCGACTGCAGAGGCCAGCGGCCTGCCGGCTGCCTGCGCCCCCGGGCTCCCTCGGGCCTCGCGTGGAGGCTGGGGGAGGCCGGGGCCCGCGGACTGCGGGGTGGGCGCGGCCGCCAGGCTCAGGGGCAGAAGCAGCAGCGGCCACAGGAGGGTCCTCGCCGCCGCCGCAACCATGGCCGGGCGCCAGACCGCAGGGCGGGGCGGGGAGCCGGTCCTGACCCCGCCCTGACCCCTCGCAGGACAGACCCTGACCTTTGACCCTGACCCCTCCTACGCGCACCCTCTGACCCCTCGCGGCCCCGCCCTGACACCAGCCCGTCTTTGAGTCCACAGTGCCATCAAGTGCTCCTACAAATTAGTGAGAAACAAAAAGACTTCGCTTAGAAAAGTGAGAAAGGATATGAAGAGGTAATTCACCAAAGGAGGAATTGAAACACACATACACAGCAAAACATTTTCAATCTGATTAATTATCTGGAAAATGAAAATTAAAACATTAAAACGTGTTATTTTCAATATGAAATGCAAACATGTTATGACATTGATAAAGACAATCTTTTGGTCATTAGTGGTTTCTCCATAGAGTGGTGGGAAGCGGGAAGGATCCAACATTTCAAAGACATGTTTCCCGTTTTCCACTCCAGGATGTAATGTCCTGAATGTGTTTGTATTAGAGGTGAGGTCCTGCCATTTTACATTTATTTCCTAGCTTTATCACTAAACTGTAAATCCATATTACAGGGAAATTATTTTATTCACCACTGAGTCTTGACATAAGAGAGTAAGGGGAATAGACTTCACACAGTATATGCTAAAATATCAGTTTAATAATCACTGTCATTATTAATGAAAACAGACATTAAGGGTCACACACCCTTAAAAATTAGGGTTTGGCAAACATATCATAGCATTAGGAAGAATCCAATATAGACACTAAAAGAAGAATTTATAAATGTTATAAAGGGAAGATAAGATTTACAGTGAAAGTGGGGTAAAGATAATGAGAATCATATTAAATGAATTAAGATTGAGATATGTATGGATTGCCAGGTTAGATTTTTCCAATAGGGATTTAGAAATGCCAGTTGAACTTTGGGAAATGGATTTGGGTTGGAGACACAGAGTAGTATAAGGATTTATTTATTTTTTGTTTTGTTTTATTTTGTTTCTTGTTTTTTTTTTATTTTAGCATATTATGGGGGTACAAGTGTTAAGGTTACTTATATTGCCCATGTCCCCCTGCCCCCTCGACTAAGAGCTTCAAGCATGTCCATCCCCCAAACGTTGCACATCTTACTCATTGTGGTTGTATATACCCATCCCCTCCTCCCCCTCCCACCCTCCTGACACCTGATAAATGTTACTCCTATATGTCCACTTAGGTGTTGATCCATTAATACCAATTTACTGGTGAGTACATGTGGTGCTGGTTTTTCCATTCTTAAGATACTTCACTTAGTAGAATGAGTTCCAGCTGTATCCAGGAATATACAAGAGGTGCTATATCACCATTGTTTCTTAAAGCTGAGTAGTATTCCATGGTATACATATACCACATTTTATTAATCCACTCATGAATTGATGGGCCTCATGAAGAATCAAAAACTGATTCTTGATCCAAAGGTCAAAGATCCCAGACTTTCAGAGCCTGGGACTCAAAGACTCAAAGCTGTGGAATCCATACACCTTTACACCTAGAAGGGCCAGCATGGTTGTTTCTCAATCTTATAGGTCATGGAAATGAGGCACAGAGGACCTAGCCCCAGTGGATCCACAAACCAGCCTGGGCCTCTTTGCCTGGCTAAGCCACTCTCTCCTTCTTCCCCCTCCCTCTTCTCCCACCCCTTCCTCAATCTCCTCCCTCATCCTCCAGCCTCTCCACACCCGCCTCACATCCTCGGTGAGCATTCCCCAGCCAGTTATCCAGCAGGACACGTCACTGGGCAGCTGCATGTCTGGGGATGGAGCAGACTGGACAATGTAGACAGTGAAGTTGACAGCAGGTACAGCTGTAACATGGCAATGTCACTCCAAAGGGTGCAACTTCTCAAAGTCTGGGTGGGTGATAATCCGGCTCACAGACATCTTCTGGGTGTGCTGGGTTTGCCGATACAGTTCGAGTGTATCCCAGCAGAACCGATAGTCCTCCAGGGCCTGGGATTTTCTGGAGGAAGAAAAGGCCCATTATCAGCATCCTCTCTGAGTGTGGGCAGCACTCCTCTCTGTGTCTTTGTCTAAGTGCCCATGCTTCTCTGGGCCCTCCACCCTGCCATGATGCCAGGCAGCTTTGTCTCCCCATTTCCAACAGTCAGGAGCTCTTTCTTCCTAAGGCTAATGGGTATTCTACGCACAACCTCAGGACACATGCTCCCCATCCCACCCTAGAATCAGAGGAGCAAGAATCCTAGTGCGGGAAGAGTCCTTGAAGGGTCACTAAATCAAGCCCTTTTATCTTACACAAAAGGAGCTCTGCTCACTCCTAGCTCCAGCCTGACCCTCCTGAAGCTCCCCAACCCCACTGCCTGGCCAACCACCTTTCCTGCTCCCTTCCCAATGGTTGCTTCTCTACTGGGCTATAAGCATTCACAAATGATCTGTTAACAAAAGCTCTCCTTGTTCCTGAATGACTGATGAAACTTCCTACTATTGTGATTTTGTTCACATAGGACGCCTACCTGAAGCCCTCGCCACACTCCCCGTGCCCAAGCCTCCAGTCTGGCAAGCCCCCTGCAGCTCCTCAGCCCTCCCATCAGACCGCAGCATCTCTCTGGACTCTTCTCCTTGGGTGTGCCCTCACCCACTTTAGATTGCTCTCCTGCATCACGCTGACCGGAGCCTGTGCCTCCTTCTTCAGAGGATGGAGACACCCGGACATAGGGTCTTGTCCACCATCCTGTGCCACAGAGTCTCAGGGAAGTGTGGCACAGTGTAGATGCTGACAGGACCCAGCTGGGGTCTCAAAGCCAGTAAATGCCCAAGCTGCAACTCCTGACCTGGCTGTGATGCCCTCGACTCCCTGTGCATCCCTCCACATCTGCTCAGAATCTGGGCACTGAGTCAGGCCCAGGAGGGCCAGAAGAGTTAGGCTCCTAACTGTCTATGTCATTCTCCAGAGTTAGAAGGCCCCATCCTTCCACCCAGGCAGCCAGCATGGCTTTCCCCAGCAGGCAGTTTTACAGAGAAAGAATTACCTATCTGCTGGTCACAGGTGCAGGGCCCATGGCCCTGCCTGAGTCTGACTCACAGGAGTGTGGGAACAGTGAGGAGAAGCCTGCCAAGACAGACACTGCTGATGCTCTCAGGCACGTCTGTGTTGGAGCACAAAGGGACAGGGTGGGGGTGGTTCTCGGCTGAGCTGAGGATGAAGGGCAAAGAGGATCTGGGCAGATAAAGGGAGGGTGGCAAGTGGAGAGGACAGTCCAGGTGAGGGGACTCAGGTCAAAGGCAGACACCACATCCATTGTGTGGCAGCAGATTACCCAGACCAAAGCCCAGAGAGAAATAAGTGGGACACCTTATCCCTGTATCTTCATTTCCCTTGCATCTCCCTCCCTGCCAGCCCTCTGCCGGACCCCAGGGAAGAACTCACTGATAAAGCGAGTGGCAGCTGACACCAGCCAGTGGGAGTCAATGAGGACGGCTCCACAGAAGTGGAGCCCTTGTAGAGCACACTGGCCTGCCATGGCCACAGGCCAGCATCAGCGTCCTGCCACCATAGATCTTCCATCACCTTGGCTTCCCGCACACTGTGGAGACACCCCCACCTACCTGTTAGAGACACTGGTGTGTCCCTGAAGGTCACCCCAGTGAGGCCCTCCTCTACTTCACAGATGGGAAAACCTAGGCAAAGGACAGATGGGTGACCTGGCCAAAATGACTGAGGGCTACCCTTCAGTGGGCCCCACCAAGGATGGGAGATGACTGAGCAAAACGAGCAAGCTCCTCATGGAATGGGCCAGGGGCTGGGGGGCAAAGGGACTGAGGGTGACCACAGAGGTTCATCCTTAACTGGGCTGCCAAGGGCTGGGGGACTGGCAGCCAGGCCCCTGTGGACCTGGCCGTCATACGATTAGGGAGTGATCCTGGTATTTAGTAGGCAAAAGCCAGGGACTCTTAGCAGAGCCTCACTCAGTAAAAACATGTTTGGTCCAAAATAGCTGCAGCACCTCTGTTGAGAAACACTGTACTAAGTTCTGACCCTACAAATAATTATACATATATGTTCTTTTTTCCCCTTAACATTATACCATCAGCATTTTCCCAAACCCCATAAACACTCCTTTCTTCAATAAACACTCTTGTGTTTATAAGTCTTTGCCTGTATTTCTTTTCTTTCAGTCTAAAAAAACAACTTTATTTTCCGTTTCGCAGTTCACTTAACAAGACTATGAAGTAGATGGTTGACCCAGGTTACGGTAAGAGCAAAGTGAGGTTCGGAGAGGTTAAACACTCCTAAGTCGTAATCATTCTAACTTGATCATGCAGGCTATGAGGTCTGAAGCCACAGTGTGTTTTCCTTCTACTTTTCCCAAGCACCCTCTATGGCAAGGGAAGATCAAGATGTTTGGTAGTGAACTGAAATAGGCCGGCCCCCAAGCATAACTTTTGAGTGGAACAAGTCATTTCAGATTTGTGGCCAATTAAAACCTTAGAATCAAGAACCATAGGGGGCAGAGCAAGATGGCGGACGAATAACACCGCCAGACAGAGGGTCTCTGCAGAAAAGACACGAAAGAGTAATCCTCTCAACCCATTTTCTCTAAATTCTAATAGTTCACACCTAAAGCGTTCCAAGTCTGTTACCCAGTGTGAGTTGATTTTTGTGAGACGGTGAAAGTGTGGGTCTTGTTTCAGCTCTTCTACATGCTGGCTATCCAGTTTTCCCAGCACCATTTATTGAATAAGGATTCTTTTCTCCAGTGTATGTTTTGTCTGCTTTGTTGAAGATTACTGGTATCATGCAGACATG